GCGCCACCTCTGCTCCCCTCCCCGCTCCCTCCAGTGGCTCGGCCCAAAAATTCATCAGTCTTTCCCATTGACGTCTTCCTCCCTTCATTCATTTACTAAATGATGTTCACCCACGTTCGTTGACCGACTTAAAGGAATATGGCACGATAATTTGGTACTCGCTCTCAAATGGTAACAGGGGTGCCATATAGTTGCACAATGGTGAAAAAAACTTAGTGAAACGGTCAAAAAAACTGCAAAAAACCTTTGTTCTACACCCCCAGAAGGCAATTTGGACGAGTTCCCGCTGGCATCGTGCCAGTAACCGCTACGGTAGATACGGCTGCATGTATGTACTCATATATCCATGCAGCACCGCAGCCGCTTCATATCAATCCCTTCGCTTCATATTGTACTTCGCAAATGGAAGCGATACGAGCATTAGCATCGGTAGGACATTCGCGGGCAAGCGGGCGCTGTGGGCGTCCGGGTCGGTATGTTGCAGCCTGATAATGGCTCTATAGGGACACTTCCCTTGGGAAAGGCCGCCGAGTTCTGTCCTGCTAGGCGATTTGTCCTACATGCCTTGGGGCTTTATCGTAATACTTGCCTTCAAGGAATAAACCAGCGCTTTCCCATCCCCACTGATTCACGAATTAAAATACAGCCACTTGGCGCGAAAACACCCAGTGCTACCTAGGCGCCAGCGTCAAGTGTCAACTTTCGTTTGACACGTCCTATTTAACCTTGACGCTTCTCTCCTCCGTGGCAGCCAAAGCTCCACCCTCCGGCGAGCTTCTGGGCAAATTCCAGCTTGAATTTGGAAGCCTAAGGCGCTATAGGGTAAGCGATGGTCAGAAACTCTCGCAGCTCGAAATGACCTGGCGCGGCCTCCAAGCGTTGACGTTGGTGCCAACACTTGTAGGATGCGCCAGAGTACTTCACGCCTGACCATAGTCACTCTCTTCTGTGGGAACATGCCACCGAAACCACCACCCTCAGGGGGTTTTGATCAGACATTACCTTAAATTTTGAAGCATAAGGCTGTAAGGTAAACAGTGCTCAGGAACTGTGCATGTCTTGGAGATTTATCGTGCCACTTGCCTTTAATCTCCTTCCTACAAAAAAATTGCATTTTGGGTCATATCTCCGCATCAAACATAGCATGTATAAGTTACATATATTCGGTTTTGTCCCGAGCGGATGCTCAGACATGTCGGGGAGCTGGGTTTCACCCAACGCCAGACCCTTGTTCAACGATTCTCGAAGTGGGCGAGCGACAACATTCGGTGGAAAACGCCAACCCCCTGACATGAAAAAGCATCTCCAATGAACAAGACTGTACAGTGCTTTATCAGATGTATACCTATACTTGCGACGACCGATGCCACGATAATTTCTGCCAAAATGCAGCCGAATGTATTGAAGACTTCGCGAAAGACACTGCCGTCTGTCGTTGTCGCTATCCGAACGTGTACAGTGGACGAAACTGCGAAATCGGTAGCGTTCTACTGATTTTAACCCATTAAATGTTGGTGAATCAATATATGTTATGCAGATATCAATCAAAATTCCTCTGTGTCGTTTCACGGTGGTTTTTTGAAGTACGAGTTGTCACAGAACGCTCTCGTCGATCAGACCATACTCTCGTTTCGAACGGACCAACCACAGGCGTTAATATTGTTCGTGCACGATCACAACAATAACTTCATGCAGGTACGTCTACATTTCAAGGAAATTTTGAGTAAGGCGACAAGTAACTTTGGAGAGCATTTGAAGAACTACTCTTGTGTAATAGATTTACGGTAATGGAGACGGAGACATTTGCTTTGATCCTTGAGAGGCGAAAACTTTCCAGAAAAGGTGGACCATATTCAATTACTGCAATTTCATTCGAATACCTTCAGTCCTAGTTCTGGAAGTTCTTTAAACAGCTCTCACAGTCATCAGGACGAGAGTATGTTCTCTGAACGCACTCCCCTTTTGGTCAGCTGACACAAGAAATTTGTTTTCACTGAGATTGATAAAACTTTTATGACCACTTCCACTTCCAGCTTCCAGTAAATTTGACTCCAACATCTACATTAACGGGTTTACTCGTCATACAGTGGGTGATTGTCTGACCCTGATGGGTTGACTTA